GACCTGCCATACTCCCTTGTGAGATCAGTCACACAGACACCACACTCATGCTTTGCTATAATTTCCTTCTTTAAATCCACAGTAATTGTGTCTTTCTTCCTCTTGACAACACTATCTTTAGCAAGCAGCTTCTTTGGAGACATCGTGTGTTACAAATTGTAGTCGCAAAACCACTAAAAACCCAAAGAAAAGCTCAAATAAATCCAGAGGAATCCTTGTCGTGTGCGATACAACAACAACACTGGCGTCGGAGGCGTCCGAGAATTTGCGAGAACCCGCGAGATGCTAGGAAGCACCATGCGGTTTTGCTCGTTAATAGAGGCGAGCTCGTCAATAGAGACAAATTTGCTGCAAGTGGCTTGCTCGTTACTGGAAAAACTCGTTAATAGAGCCACTCATTAATCGAGGTTCCACTGTACTGTCTAACCATTCCTCTCGATTACTCCGATACAACACCTGGACTTGACACCATTCATTTACTTGTACATAAAAGTGCACTGAATATAACTTCCTAGCTCTGCAGTTTATCACTATTTACACCTAACCTTTTACCTTCTTTCTCTTCATTGACAAATTGGCTTCCTCCTTCCTGAATAATAATTCCTTTCCAAAATAATCTGTAGGTGCTACAGGCTTTAACTTTGGAGAACATGGCTTAGGCAGACTCTGAGGCTTGGACTTGACCTTCTCTTCTTTCTTGACCTTTTTCTTGTTCTTGGTTTTGAACAAGTCATCATCTGCATTGTGAAAAAAAATTATCAGCTCTTTAATGATGATAAAAATATATATATAATATATAGACCAGTATACACACACACACACACCAGTCGTCAGTATGTGAAGCGGGCTACTGCCACCATGATCACCAGCCTCAGGAACGGGAGAGGAAGGTGGGATTATCACATTTAAGAGTGGAGTCGGGCCTTTGATTTTATTGAATGAACTGCTATTAGTAATTCTGTATTGAAAAGATTTCTTCTGTGCCTCACTAGTCCCTTATAATTCATAATGTCAGGGGACAGGAAGCCAGAGTGTATTCGTACACGTTAGGCTTTTATCGAGCACCCCCCCCCCAGGTCGAATTACTGACCGCCGACCAGGATACAACCCCACAACAAACTGACTAGCTCCTGAGTACCTACTTACTAAGTGAACAGAGGCATTAAGTGAAAGGAAATGTGCCCAACTACTTCTGTCCCGTCCGGGATTCGAACCCGGAATTCTCGATTGTGCGTCGAGAACGAACCCGAGTGTACTACCAGGACCCTAATGTGACCCTGAAAAAGCCGTTGGAAGAATGTCTGAGGAACCAATGCAGTGTCATTCCTGCATGACTGCAAGTTCTGGTCTGAGAATGTAATGGTAATTATTGTAGGGAGTAGCAAATGCAATAAACAAAAGTAACTAATACAGTATTGATTATCATATTTTACCGGAATCAGAGTCCACAATGATCTTTCTCTTGCTGGCAGAGGGAAGTTGGTCCTCCTCATCCGAGTCAACAATCACATTCTTTTTTTTAGTATCTTTTGATGTGCTCAAAGATTTCCCAGACTTTTTGCTTCCGACTGGTTGAAAATAGTTTCGTATATCCTGTAAAATAAAATGAGCAAAGTGCATGTAGATTTGATTAACAACAAAATTTTTAGTACCCAGAAAACAGAATTTTATATACAGTACATTTCAGTATTTGACTTACAGGTGCATCTAACAAAAATTGGGATTATATTGTTCCAGACCCAATCCAGAATTGTGTGATATCTAGTTTACTGGAAATGTCTCCTTTTTGGGCTATTCATCACCAAATTTGCCAGATTTTTTTTACAAGAAGTAAAGCCATAATTATTGATGCATATTGTATTGTACAGTATTTAGACAAATAATATAAAAATAATTGTTATGTATACCTATAAATAATAATTATGCATTAAAATGCAACAAATTTTGTTTACTTACCTGTTAGCAGCAGTCATGTCTTAATAACACACATGATTAATGCCAGTCTTTCAGCTAGAGACTGGCATAGATCATTCATAAACAGCAGCATCTAAATCCTCATGCTTCAAAGGTTTCCATGATTTTATGCCACTCTTTCCACAACTTCTCTTTGGTTTTATTCACAAACAATACACTGTAAACGATCTGCTTCCCTTGCTTCTTTAACATCAGAAACAGCACTAATACCAATGTCATATGCCTCACCCAGCCACTTTCCTCCCCAGCAATTATCACACTTGTCTAATAACTCACCATTATCATCCATGGTAAGTTCCTCTCACCCTTGTCTGAAACACCCATACTATTCTTGCAGCATAACATGGTTTAACTCACAAATAATGATAAATACCAGAAGAAAACCCTGTGAAAATGCTTGAATGAGACATCAGACCACATATATACTGTACAAGGAAAAAACAATTTTGATACACCGTCATTGTAGGTACGTCCCGATCCCTCAGAAAAAACTAGCATTGAATGTAAGGAAACGCCATTTTCTGGGTGAGTCCTAGAGGCTCCCCAGAGCTATACTGGGCTGATGTGTATGTATTAGACCGTGCCATCAGTCAACTCGAATAGCGTTCAAGCTTACCAGGGACCACGACCCAGAACCTGGCCCCCTCAGAGAGGCACGAGGAGCAATGGCCTATAGGCCCTGTGGTTGGGTGCATTCTGTGTCTGCCATCGGTCGGGATAGGCACCCAGAAAGGTAGGCGTCCCAAAACCGATCCAAACTGGCGAAACAGTACTACCTAAATCCGAACTGGTATGCAGAACTCCCAAATCTGAAAACAGGCAAACAGGCATGATGTCATAACCACCGCCGCACCGCCTGCCTACGCAGCTCCCCCTCCCCGGTAGGGGGAAGGGGGAGCACCAGATCCCGCGCCGGCTATCCACCCTCAGTTCAGAGGCTGAATGTCAAAAACATGAAAAAAACGCCGACCGGAGGGAGGGAGGGAGGGTTTGCTGGGCAGCCTCTGGGACTAGCCCAGAAAATGGTGTTTCATTACATTCAATACTGGTTTTCTGTGGATAGCCCCTCCAGCTCCGTGGAGCTACCTAACCAAAGACAAGAAAAAGAGGATTTACCCGGGAGGCTGCTGCCACTCGTGCCTCAACTCAAAGTTGAGACAACTAGCTTCAACCTGCGACCCAAAGCAACATACGGCCAACTAGGGCCAGGAACATTAACGAGGTAACGGACAAACAGGACCCTGTCTGACTTCCAAAATCCCCGTGCCTGAATGCCAGCCCTCGACATATTACCAAAAATGGCAGCCAAAGCAGCCAGGTTAACCCAAAGCGCGTCCCCAGCCACCGAGGCTGTGGCGTGCAAATAATGGCGAAGCGCTGCAACTTGACACAACACATGATGCATGCCCGGCCGAACTAACCAAGCATCAACAACCCAAGGACCTGTTTGGAAAATGGCTGTCTCATTCTTCGCCAGAAAAAAAGGAGACGGCTGCAAATGAAACCCCTGCGCCGAAAGAGAGCATGAACCTCCCTGATCCAACCCCAAGAGGCCAATGCCAACAAGAAAAGAGCCTTAGCAAAACAATCCTGAAATGAAGGGGCCACCACAAACCGAAGGGAAGAGAGAAAAGAGAGCACCCAGTCCAACGACCAGGATAGCTCAGGGGAAGCATGAGCAGGACAGAGGTGAAATAATGCATGAGACAGCTTGCAAAACAGAGAGGAAGTAACATACACCCCAAACACAAGCTGCAGCAGCTCCGCCAGCGCCGCACGATACGAGGCAACAGTATTCGGCATAAGATGATGGTCCTGAAACAGCCAAGAGAGAGAAAAGACAAAACAACCCGATCTGAAAACCAAAGACAACCTACGAAGAGACAGAAAGTAACAAAAAGACCACCAAGAAACTTCATACTGCCGCAAGACGAAGCATGCAGGTAGGACACCATCAACAAAGCCACCTGATCACCATACAATTGGTGATAAACCCACGTCAGAAACATCAGATACAAAGACTGGAAGAGACCGAACCAGCCATGTATCAGACCGGTCTAACCTGCTGAAAGAGGCGGAGCCGCGGAAAAATTCACGGGTTCGAACACCGGGCAAGCAGAACCTGAAACCAAGGCTGGGCCAGCCACGAACCAGAACCCAAAGCAACAGCTGGACTGGGGGGGAAGGAAATACAGGTAACCCCACCTTGACAAATCCTGCCGAAAAGCATTGACCCCAACAGCCCTGCAGTCGGGGAAAGAAGCCACATACAACAGAAGATGCCTAGACCATACTGATGCGAAGAGGGCCACTTCTGGGTGCTTGTACATCTGGCAGAGCCAACTGAACGAGTCAGAGTCAACCATCCATTCCGTCGAGAGGGGAATGAGTCGAGACAGGCCATCTGCCAGGATGTTGGACACTCTCCCGGATATGAACCACCAGGAGAGCCAATCCCTGAGAACTCAGGAGACGAGTCACCCAAAGTCACCAGCCCCAAAGAGCCAAGGATCGCACCAAACTCCCTCTGTTCAGGCAATGAACCACTGGGGCACAGTCTGAATGGAGCCGGATCGTCGATCCGCGAGCAACATGAACCCTCCAAAGCGACTGCCACACTGGCAAGAACTTCCGCACTGTGCTGCGAGTCCGACGGAAAGACGAACCCCATCGATCCTGGCCAGCCTGGTGAGCACTGGTCACAAAGCCCAAGCTTAGAGATGAGGCATCAGTGAACACATTGAGCAAGGGCTTGGGTAGGCGCCAAGGCACTGAACCCTGAAAAACCCGAAGAGGAAGCCAGCAACACAGCAGCTGATGGTAGGCCCTCAGAGGCCGAACCCAGCAATCGCGAGAGTAACAGAGGGGACGTCCCTGAAGGAACCAGAACAGTCGCCGAAGCCAGACCCAATCTGGTGGGTAAACCAGCACAGTAAAATTCAGACTCCTGCACAGCTGTTTGAGCAACCGACGAGTGACCCGGGAGCACCCCAGAACAGCCGAATACGGGACCGCAGCTGCAGCAATGACACTGGAGGGAGGGAGAGACAAGGAAACGGTCTGGGTCCCATACAAGACCCAGCCAAGTCTGAACCTGAGAGGAAACCAGGTGGGACTTCCGCCAGTTCACCAAGAACACGAACCCAGCGAGCTGGGAAAGAACCAAATCCCTGGTGAGCAGACATGCGGACCGGCTGGGAGCCCACACCAGCCAGTTGTCGAGGTAGGTCAGAACCTGAACCCCTAACAGACGCAAGCAGGTCACGACCCGGGTACGGCGTGTGAAAATGCGAAATGCCAGATTCAAGCAAAATGGAAGGCAATGAAAGGGGTAAGGTTGACGCCCCTACAACAAAACCAAGCCAGTTCATGAAACGTGGATGAATCGGGATGTGCCAATACGCATCCCAGAGGTTCAGGGACACCATCCAAGCATCCGGCTCGAAAAGAAGCAGACCTAGGACAGAATGGTCATCCAAATGGAGGGGCAAAGGACCCAGGGACCAATGCACAGAGCAAGCATTGCACCGACCAGACACCATCAGCTCCAAAACTGGCACCACTGGCCTACCACGACCAAGGGAACCCCGAACCCTGGCACGACCTTTCCGGGCAGGACCCCCACGTCCACCCCGAGAACAAACAAGTCCAACATCAGCCGACAACAAGACGAAGATGCCTGTAGAAACTGCACAACTGCAAACTCTGCGAACAGCAACGAGCAAAAAGGTGACAAAAACCTAAGAGTCAGGGACCCAAGCAGATTCCTGGGAAGGAGCAAGAACAGCCTGTCAGCATGCGAGGCGAGAAGCGAAGAACAGAGACACCGCCTCCTTGAGAATAGGAGCAAACAACTTCAACAAGGTAGCCGATGCCTGAGCCGCTGAGGCAAGCACACCGGGCGCAGGCCCGGTACCCAGCGCCTCCATATCCTCCTCAAGCCAGTCTGAAGACAGTTCAAGAAGGAAAAAGAAGCACAAGACCAAAGCCAAATGCCCACAAGCGCACATATCCTCAGCGACCCGAGACACCAAAATTGTGTCTTCACCTGAATGTGAAGCTGCACCTGGCCGACATCCTTAGGAAGAGCAGGGGCGAACAAGCACACACTGAGGTACTCAAACTCGCCTCCCCAGGTAAACCTGAACTACCATACACGTTTCCCGCCATTCAAGCATGCAGGTCCGGAAGAACGTATGCCACGCACCCAACAAAAAGAAGGGGCAGTCTGCCAACCAGAATGACTCCAGCACAAGACAGAGAATCCTAATCTGATTTTTTCGATATCACACCAAGGTATGTCATTTTCAGAGTCCTCTAGCTGAACTAGGAATTCAGATCCCAACTTAAATAAAAATTACTTTTGTACAGTATTTTTGACACCATTGTCCCTGACAATGGTGTCAAAACCAAATTGAGAATGATGCATATTGAGATATTTTGCCTTGAAAGTTGGCTAGTTTTGCACATAAAAAATTTTTTGGCCAACTTTCAAGTGGGCCACCTCTGGACATATCGATACAAGAGTTGCTATTGCATCATTGCATAATATTGTGCTTGTTATACATCATTGCAAAAGATCATGGCATTTAGACCTTTTGCTGATGAGTAGGTGGTCTCCAAATTGGGGTCCAAATTTCTCGCGACAAAATTTGGCAGTGATTTTAGCATGGATGTATAGCTGAAAGGCATAGAGCACTTTATTACAAAATCTGTAGCTTTAGCTCCAATAAAGTACTGTATTAATTGTTCACAATAACAGCAAAGCCAAGGCAAGCTTTATTATATGATGTTAATTAGGCACTTCTTTATTTCTCTCTTAAACTGGGCGAGTGAAATACAACTTTTAATATCAATTGGGAGGTCATTCCATAGATTAGGAACCTTAATTGGCAAGGCATTTCTGCTATGGTTGAATCTTGGAATATCAAACAGTGGAATACCAAACAATTTCTCAGGTGGAACCATTTATTATGTTGACCAGACCACGCACTAGAAGTTGAAGGGACGACGACGTTTTGGTCCGTCCTGGACCATTCTCAAGTCGAATGTCCCGAAACGTCGTCGTCCCTTCACCTTCTAGTGTGTGGTTTGGTCAACATACTTTAGCCACGTTATTGTGACTCATCGCCTGCATATGGACACCATTTATTATATATGTATTGGGAGGTGTCCAAATAAATGTTCAACGTTGAAAGGTATTTTCTGGGTGACAAGTTCACGGTTGAAGTTAATTTTGTCATAGTGATATCTGAACCAGACGAGGTCATATTGTTCAATTGCCTTGGATATTTTGCAATGTATGCAAATTTCAATCCCGTACTCACATAGTTGTGCTTGCGGGGGCTGAGCTCTGGCTCTCTGGTCCTGCCTCTTAACTGTCAATCAACTGGTGCACAGGTTCCTGAGCCTACTGGGCTCTTTTATCATATCTACATTTGAAACTGTGTATGGAGTCAGCCTCCACCACATCACTGCCTAATGCATTCGTTTGTTCTTCTATAGTTGTGTGCTGCTAGTGTGGCCAGTCCCACCCATTGTCTGGCCATTACCACATATGCATATTTTATTATTATTTATTATTATTATTATTATTATTATTATTATTATTATTATTATTATTATTATATATTTGTGGCGTATGTTGCCAAGTTCGCAGTTCTTGTTTACGTTTCCGTACTGTGTTGAGGGATCAACATGTCTCCCATTTTGCTGTCATGTTTTGGTAGAGGGAAGTGATGGCCCGTGAGGGTGTGGGAAGCATTACTGTGTGTAAGTGATACAACAACGTGGTGGTGGTGGAGTGTAGCAGTGTGGGACTCACCATGGCTGCTCCTCCCGCCACTATCGTCCGCAGCTTTGTCAACAAACACACAATAACAAGCGAGCGTCGCCTTGCGCCCAACAGCTTTACATTTAGATATTTAGATTTTTTATTCAGGTAAAGGTACATACATTAAGTTACATACATAATGTTGGATTTAAAGATAGAGATAGTACATACAATACCTAAAGCCACTATTACGCACAGCATTTCGGGCTAGGTGAGTTAGTTCATTTATTATGCACCCCATACCCATCTTGTGGGCGGTAGTGGAAAGGGTTACAGAGGCACATAATGGGCTCAGGGACTGAACCCTGAGCCCATTAAGGGCTAGGTGAGGTGGGGGGAAAAACACTTAATGGTAAAACTTAATGGTAATTGAGCTTAAAGTATAAATTGTGTTGAAAAAAAACAAAAATAAAAAAATGGGGGAACAAGGCAGAGAATAGCAATTATACAAGTTGGTCAACAAACAGCATTGATTACAATAGTAAGACATGGGTTGACATTTAGGGGGTAAGGTAGGTTACAGGGAGTTAATCAGGTAGTACTTAGTTTTTATCTTAAACTGGTTGAGAGAGGTACAGTCTTTAACATAATTGGGAAGGTCATTCCACATTCTGGGTCCCTTGATTTGTAAAGCATTTCTAGTTTGATTAAGTCGTACTCTTGGAATATCAAATAGGTATTTGTTTCTGGTGTGGTGCTCATGGGATCTGTTACAACCTTCTAGGAAGCTTTTAAGGTCAGGATTACATCACAGTTCAGCGTTTTATATATATAAAGTACGCATGAGAGAATGTGCAGTGACTTAATATCTAGCATATTCAGAGATTTGAGTAAGGGTACCGAGTGATGTCTGGGGCCAGAGTTAGATATTGTTATATAAAACGCTGAACTGTAATGCCAATCCTGACCTCAAGAGCTTCATAGAAGGTTGTAACAGAACCCATGAGCACCACACCAGAAATAAATACAGTTTTGATATTCCAAGAGTACGACTTAATCAAACTAGAAATGCTCTACAAATCAAGGGACCCAGAATGTGGAATGACCTTCCCAACCATGTTAAAGACTGTACCTCTCTCAACCAGTTTAAGATAAAAACGAAGCTATACCTAATAACTCCATGTAATCTACCTTACCCCTATAATGTCAACCCATGTCTGTTTTTTTTTTTTTAATGGCGCTGTTTGTCGACAGAATTGTATTTGTGCTGCTTTTTCAGCTATGTTCCCCCCTTTTTTTATCTCTTTTTTTTATTTGTTCTCAACTCATTTTATTCTTTATGCTCAATTATTATTAAGCTTTAGTCATTTAAGTTTTTCATGCCCGAAACGCTTTGCGTAATAGTGGCTTTAGGCATTGTATGTACTAGCTCTATCTATAAATCCATCACTCTTTGTAAAATCTCTTGTATGTATGTACCTTACCTAAATAAACATTTGATTTGATTTGATTTGAAATAAACATTTGATTTGATTTGATTTCATTTGTGTGTGGGGTTGGGGTCAGAATAGATGAAGGTAGTATCGTCAGCAAATAGTATAGGTTTAATAATGTTGGAATGAATACATTCAGTATGAGTGACGCTGCCGAATAAAGTAGACTTTCAGGGCAAAACTAAAAATTAACCCATAGAACTGTCTACCCGCCGAAGCCGTAAATGCTAAAACACTTTTGATTAAACAGAGCCTGATAAAATAATTTGGACAAATTAAGGGACATTTGACAAGCCACCGGCTTCCTGTCCTCTCCGAGACCACTAGAGAGATAGACTCATGTAAACTTAGAGAAATATTTTCAATTTTTAAAATTCATAAACATGAAAATCCTTAGGCTCGTAACTCTTGTTTATTTAAATCCGTATTATATAAACTGACTAAAAGATTTTATATAAAATTCTAAAGTAATTAGCTAAATTAATTTCAATACAATTATTAAACAAACATAGTTAATTGTTTTGTTCAAAAAATATATTTATTTAAATATAAGCTGTTAAGATATATGAAAGATGAAATGCTGTTGATGACCCGGATCTTGGAGTCTCTGGCTGACGTGTTGTTGCCTGGCCAGCTGACAGTCTGTGGTCACTGTCTGCTGTGTACTGCTGCTGTCTGTCTTGCTGCCTAGTGAGCCGCAGTGTCAGGCTCGTGTGTTGCTCCCTAGCCAGCTGACTTGTCTGCTGTTGTGTTGTGGTGAAAGCGGCGCGAGAGACTATGGCGGGTCAGAAGGGGTGCGAGACGGTGGCCAGTGTGACCTTCCCGTCCTACTGTGTGACAGCTGTCAGTGGACGGCATGTTGTGGTGGGCGGCGGCGGCGGAGCTGCCAAGACGGGCATCAGGAACCAGTTTGTAAGTCGTCCCTCCCATCACATTCTCATCAAGTTCCTTCCCCCCCTCTTGACATTCTCACCAAGTCTTGCCTCCCTTGACATTCTCACCAAGTCTTGCCTCCCTTGACATTCTCACCAAGTCTTGGCTCCCTTGACATTCTCACCAAGTCTTGGCTCCCTTGACATTCTCACCAAGTCTTGCCTCCTGCTTGATACCTGGTTGATGGGGTTCTGGGAGTTGTTCTACTCCCCAAGCCCGGCCCGAGGCCAGGCTTGACTTGTGAGAGTTTGGTCCACCAGACTGTTGCTTGGAGCGGCCCGCAGGCCCACATACCCACCACAGCCCGGTTGGGCCGGCACTTCTCTTAGAAAACCATCCAGTTTCCTCTTGAAGATGTCCACGGTTGTTCCGGCAATATTTCCTATAGTCGCTGGAAGGATGTTGAACAACCGCGGACCTCTGATGTTTATACAGTGTTCTCTGATTGTGCCTATGGCACCTCTGCTCTTCACTGGCTCTATTCTGCATTTTCTTCCTTATCGTTCACTCCAGTACGTTGTTATTTTACTGTGTAGATTATGGACCTGGCCCTCCAGTATTTTCCATGTGTATATTATTTGGTATCTCTCTCGTCTCCTTTCTAGAGAGTACATTTGGAGAGCTTTGAGACGATCCCAATAATTTAGGTGTTTTATCTCGTCTATGCGTGCCGTATATGTTCTCTGTATTCCCTCTATTTCAGCAATCTCTCCTGCTCTGAAGTGGGAAGAGAGTACTGAGCAGTACTCAAGACGGGACAACACAAGTGACTTGAAGAGTACAACCATTGTGATGGGATCCCTGGATTTGAAAGTTCTCGTAATCCATCCTATCATTTTTCTGGCTGACGCAATATTTGCTTGGTTATGCTCCCTAAACGTTAGATCGTTGGACATCATTATTCCCAAATCCTTGACATGCTGTTTTTCTACTATGGGCAGATTCGATTGTGCTTTGTACCCTGTATTATGTTTCAGATCCTCATTTTTGCCGTACCTGAGTACCTGGAATTTATCACTGTTAAACATCATGTTATTTTCTGCTGCCCAATAGAAAACTTTGTTGACATCTGCTTGTAGTTTTTCAATGTCTTCAGCAGAGGTAATTTTCATGCTGATTTTTATGTTATCTGCAAAGGACGACACGAAGCTGTGACGTGTATTTTTGTCTATATCAGATATAAGAATAAGGAACAGTAGCGGTGCAAGGACTGTACCTTGAGGTACAGATCTTTTAACATCGCTTGGACTCGATTTTATCTGATTGACTGTTACTCTTTGTGTTCTGTTCGACAGGAAATTGAATATCCAGCGTCCTACTTTTCCAGTTATTCCCATTGACCTCATTTTGTGTGCTATCACCCCATTGTCACATTTGTCGAACGCCTTTGCAGAGTCTGTGTATACAACATCTGCATTTTGCTTTTCTTCTAGGGCTTCTGTGATTTTGTCATTGTGGTTGAGTAACTGTGACAGACAGGATCTTCCTGCTCTAAATCCATGTTGTCCTAGATTGTGCAATTCATTGTTTTCCATAAAACTAGAAATTTGATTCCTAATCACTCTTTCAAACACTTTTATTATGTGTGTTGTTAGTACAACTGGCCTATAATTTTTTGCCAAGGCTTTACTCCCCCCCTTGTGCAACTTAAATCTGCAGATTTAAGTGCTGCTGGTATCTCCCCTGTATCCAGGCTCTTTCTCCATATTACGCTGAGTGCTCTCGCTACTGGTACTTTACATTTCTTTATGAATATTGAATTCCATGAGTCAGGCCCAGGACCTGAGTGCATAGGCATATTGTCAATTTCTCTTTCAAAGTCTTCCGAGTTTGTGGTAATATCCGTTATATTATCTGCAGCTTGAATGTCATTCATAAAGAGGTTGTCTGGGTCATCAACTTTCATGTTGTTTATTGGTGTGCTAAACATAGCCTCATACTGGCTTCTTAGAATTTCACTAATCTCTTTGTTGTCCTCTGTGTATGTACCTTCATTTGTAATTAATGGTCCAATACTGGTCGAGGTTTTGGATTTTGATTTTGCGTATGGGAAAAAATATTTCGGATTTTTCCTTATCTCTTGTATAGCTTTCTGTTCCAATTCCATTTACTCACTCATATGATAGCTTCAACGTTTGTTCTATTTCTTCGATCTCCCTGCTTAGGCTTATTTTCCTTGCTTGTGATAGTTGTGTCTGCCGAAGCATTTCCGTTATATTTTTCCTTCTCCTGTATAGTCGTCTGCGTTCTCTTTCTAGAGTGGTCCTCTTTCTGCCCCTCCTCACAGGTACGTGCTTCAAGCAGACCTTGTAAGCTTCAGCTGTCAGTTGAGCTATTCCCTGTGTGGGAGTTTTGTCGCTTAAGACCGTCTCCCATTGAATGGTTGCAAGGTCTACATTTATTTTTTCCCAGTCAATCCTCTTATTGTTGAAATTGAATTGATTGAATATTCCTTCTCGCTTGTTGGGTCTCTTAGATCTACTACTGTTATTTATGCTAGTTCGCACTTCAATGAGCTTATGGTCCGAGTATGAAGTATCTGAGATTGTGATGTGTCTGATTAGTTCATCATTGCTTGTGAATAACAAGTCTAGTGTGTTTTCGTTCCTAGTTGGTTCTGTAATCTGTTGATTGAGCGAGAATTTGTCACAGAATCTCAAAAGTTCTCTGACCTGTGGTTGGTTATTTCCCGGATCATTCCCTGCTATGATATTTGTGTTTGGCCTCCCTTGACATTCTCACGAAGTCTTGCCTCCCTTGACATTCTCACCAAGTCTTGCCTCCCTTGACATTCTCACCAAGTCTTGCCTCCCTTGACATTCTCACCAAGTCTTGCCTCCCTTGACATTCTCACCAAGTCTTGCCTCCCTTGACATTCTCACCAAGTCTTGCCTCCCTTGACATTCTCACCAAGTCTTGCCTCCCTTGACATTCTCACCAAGTTTCTCCCTCCCCCTTGACATTCTCACCAAGTTTCTCCCTCCCCCTTGACATTCTCACCAAGTTTCTCCCTCCCCCCTTGACATTCTCACCAAGTTTCTCCCGCCCCCCTTGACATTCTCACCAAGTTTCTCCCTCCCCCTTGACATTCTCACCAAGTTTCTCCCTCCCCCTTGACATTCTTCCCCCAACGATGCTCTCGGCAAGGCTCCCCCCCCCTGCGATGCTCTCGGCAAGGCTCCCCCCCCTGCGATGCTCTCGGCAAGGCTCCCCCCCCCTGCGATGCTCTTGGCAAGGCTCTCCACCGCAATGCTCTCGGCAAGGCCTTCCCCCCCCCCCCCCACCGCAATGCTCTCGGCAAGGCTCTCCCCCCCTGCGATGCTCTCGGCAATTCTCCCTCCCTCGCGATGCTCTCGGCAAGTCTCCCCCCCCCCCCCCTGCGATGCTCTCGGCAAGTCTCCCCCCCCCCCCCTGCGATGCTCTCGGCAAGTAACCGCGATGCTCTCGGCAAGGCTTCCCCCGCGATGCTCTCGGCAAGTAACCGCGATGCTCTCGGCAAGGCTTCCCCCGCGATGCTCTCGGCAAGGCTTCTTCCGTCCCCATGAAGCTCTCGCCATGCGTCCTTCTGTCTAATCACGTTGACATCTAATCATAATTTGGTTAAATGTTGAAATGTAAGTCTCATCCTAACCACATACTCAGACCTTGACAAAGCACTTGGGAGATTGTGAAAGACTTGGTGTAAAACTCTTTACATAAATTTCACAATTTTTTTTTGTGAAGCCAAAAGCAAAAAGTGTGGGTTTTTATCCTATGTTATTATGTTTGTGAGAAGACATTACCATTATTGCAATGAATTATTATACCGTATTATTATATAATAAAGAAATATTAAGTATCAGTCTCTTTTAGTATACAAGTTCTGTAGTGTATTGGTGTTGACCAAAATCTTGGTATCAGTACTCTGCTCATATTAGCCATCAGACCCTAAGATGTTGATGTAACCTAACTTGTACAGAGAAGCTTGGCTATCTTCTTATCTTGAGGTTATCTTGATGATTCCGGGGCTTTTTAGTGTCCCCACCCCCAGGAAGCAGCCCGTGACAGCTGACTAACACCCAGGTACGTATTTTACTACTAGGTAACAGGGGCATAGGGTGAAAGAAACTCTGCCCGTTGTTTCTCGCTGGCGCCTGGGATCGAACCCAGGACCACAGGATCACAAGTCCAGTGTGCTGTCCGCTCGGCCGACCGGCTCCCTCCTGGCTGGCTTGGCGTGTTGAAAAATTTGCAGTGCCCTGATACTAGTTAGTTTAGCTTAGCTTGAGGTAAATAAGCTTTCACATGACTTTCCAACCCTTCTCCATACTTACCATTCCTCATCTAATCTGTATTTCAAATATATTTTACATTTCCTAATTTGACATGTAATAACATTTTCGTTTTGTTTCGCAGGCCCCCTCACTATCCAACCCATTGTTGGCGTGACAGGGGTTGGTGGGCGGCTGTTGGAGTGTGATGCTCCATAGGATGGCGTTTCATCTGTTCTTTTTGAGCCTTGTGCTTCTACAGCCTTCTTTACTAATTTTATTGAATTTCTTTCTCTTCCTCATGGTTCTTGTTTTCCTCTCTGCCTCTCCTCCTTTCTGGTTGTTCTTTCCTGCTGACTTGGTTCCATTCTTGAATATTCTTTAAGTTGCCGTCATCTTTTCTGATGCTGGGTGAATTGGGATGGTACTCTCTCGTCCATAGAACTGAATACCTGACGTGTTCAAGCAAAGGGAAACTTTTATGTCAGACCCTTTCTTTGTTGCTGAACCCGATCTCGACACACTGATAGTGACTAGGATAATGACTGTGGGGGTGTATATCTATGATGCACTCCTGGGTAGGCTCTGTTTTGTCAGGTTTCCTGTCTTCCAATTGTGGCTTCGCAGTCTTTTGTTCCTCCTGCACACCTGTCCCTTCGGGCTGATGCCCATCCTCCTCCTTGATCATCTTCATGTTTCTCATTCTCCCTCTCCATCTGAGACTGTGGAGGCCATTGCCCAGTGCGTCGCTACTGGCATGCCTGTGTCTCAGTCAGAAACGGAAACTTAGTTTCCCCCTCTCTTCCTCCCCAGCGGATAAAGAGGAGTCTGTTCTTCCTGTGATTTTCTCTACTATCTTGGTTCCTGTCTCTCCTTTCTCGGTTGCAGGGTTGGCTGATCAGGCTGTGGAGGTTCCCATGTCCCTTGATTCTTCCTTTTGTTCTGTTTGTGGTGAAGTGTTCTGTTGCTGTTTACCCGCCATTCCTCGACCACCCTTTCCCGGTACCACCTCCCTCTCCAGACCGCATCAGTTCGTCTCGGCTCCTTCCTCTCGCACTCTCGCCTCCGCCATCTTTGTCAGATTTACCTTGGCTTCGCCCCACCTGGGCTTCTTTGTACTTGCTTCTGATTCTCCCTAATGTCCTTTCCCTTTGAGTTTCTTTTTTATTTTAATTTTTATTACCCTTTATACTTTCCTATGTCTATCCTTCAATGCAATATTAATGGTTTCTTTATAAATTTTTCTGAACTCCAACTTCTGTTTTTACATTTTCACCACTTTGTACATCTTCAGGAGTTTTTTTTCTTTAACCAGTTTTTGCTGAGACTCCCTAACTCTTCTGCTCACTTGATCGAGAATGATGTTCCCTTCATTCCTCTCATTTTTCTTTCAAAAATTAATTCTTCTGTTGCTCATTTTTTCCCAGGTAAACGGTACTCTGTTCAAATTATCTCCACCCTCGTGTTCCTCTTTCTCTTGCCGATCTTTCCATCCTCTTGGGCTCCTTACCAGAGCCTGTGCTGTTCTTGGATGATTTTTAACTGTTGACATGCCCTCTGAGGTGATGCTCTGATGAATACCTGCAGCCATCTCCCTTTCGTACTCTTCTTGATTGTCTCTCTTGAATTCCAGGGAGCTGACTCATGTTGATTAGCCCACTTGCACCCTTTCTTGTATTGATCTTTCCTTCTGCTCGTGCTCCATTTATTTAGACTGCCATGGAGAGTCCTAAATATAATTGCTCCCAGCACCAAACCCTGAGGTTTGGTGCTGGAACAGTAACCCACTCGTTACTGTTCACCAGTCTGACTTCTCGCCCCTTACTATTACTCTCTGGCTCACTGCCTGTTAAGTAATTCCTTACCCATGTTAGGGCTTTTCTGCATATTCCAACCTGCCTTTCAAGTTTGTATAGTAATCTCCTGTGCAGTACTGTATCAAAGGCCTTTTGATAGTCCAGAAATATGCAATCTGCCCATCCTGTCTTGCCTGTTTCATGTTACTTTATCATAGAATTCCAGAAGGTTTGTTAAGCATACTTTCCCCTCTTTGAACCCAAGCTGGGGTTTCTTTACATACAGTACTTAATTCTTTCTAGGTGTATAACCTATCTTAAGGAGGCATTTTATGAAAATATGCAATAAATGAAAACTGGTTCGATTTCAAACTTTTTAGGCTAGTTGTACATGAAATTGGGTTCAACTGGTCCAAGTCTCAGCATCCTAGCATAAATAGGAAGGGAGAAAAAAATATTGAATAATGTGTCAAAAAATTCCCAAAATGGTAAAAAATTAATATAAAACACAAGTGTCAACTGAAATCATGTCTGTGACTCTAAGCTATCACAATAGCATGTAATAAAGTATTTTAATATTTTGTTTTATGCCCCCCCCCCCCAAAAAAAAAAAAAAAAAAATAAAAAAAAAAATTTAGATTTTTTTTTATCATTTTTTTCTCATATTTTTTATCTGCTGATTTGCATGAAACTTGTACACCTTACAGAACGTAAGCCTATCTGTAAGGGTGTAACTGTTGGAGGAAATTGGTTGATGTCAACCTCAACCACAGGTGGCAGAATCTTTTTTTTTTTTTTTTTTTTTTGAGATATATACAAGTGTTGTTACATTCTTGTACAGCCACTAGTACGCGTAGCGTTTCGGGCAGGTCCCTGGAATACGATCCCCTGCCGCGAAGAATCGTTTTTTCATCCAAGTACACATTTTACTGTTGCGTTAAACAGAGGCTACAGTTAAGGAATTGCGCCCAGTAAATCCTCCCCGGCCAGGACACGAACCCATGACATAGCGCTCGCGGAACGCCAGGCGAGTGTCTTACCACTACACCACGGAGACTTTGACTTTATTTATTGTCAAGTAACATAAAATGGACTCTCCTCTTTCATTTTTTTTTCAATTTACATGAAATTTACACCTTATACTGGTATGTAGAGTTTACATCTCCACAATCTCTATAAAACACTTTATTCGTAGGTTCATTTATTGATTTTGTAAATATTTGCAAACATGAAATATTGGCATATATTTTTGGGGGACTTTGACTACTTGTATTAATAAAACTAAACATATTTTGGATAATCCCCCTTACACAAATTCTTTATTATATGCTAATGTGATAGATGAGTGTCATAGAAATGATTTAATTTTAAACTTGTGGTTGTAGAGTATTATTGAAAATGTGTAAAATTCGTTGGAAAAAACAAAAACAAAAATTCCTTCCCTCTCTATTTAGGGTGCGATACTGAAACATAGAACAGTTGCAGCCCTTTTTATATACAACTAGAAAAAAAAAGTTTGGTTGACATTAAACAAAATTTAAAATCATGTAAAATGGCCCCTTAACCTGAATTTTTTTTCAGGTACTTTGCAGGGAATGCCTGTTAATGGTACTGGTCTATAGTTAAGTGTCTCTTCCCTATCTCCTTTCTTAAAATTTGATATCATATTTGCCTTTTTTCAGGAATTGGGCAACTCTCCCTTTGAAAGTGACTCATTAAAGACCCTTGCTAGAGGTACGCTGAGGGCCTGTGTTGCCTCTTTTAGTATCTATGGCGATACGTTGTCTGGTCCAACTGCCTTAGTCTCATCCATTGTTGCCAGTTGTTTCATTACTTCCTCTGCTGTCACCTCTATATCTGATATTATCTCATCCAGGATCATCTCCTTTTCTAACAATAGGAGCTTCTCAGACTCCCATTTGGAGATGGGGTATAAAGATGGTGTTTTAACTACTACTGTGCTGTTAAATTTTGGTAGAAATCTTATTTGGTTTGTAGCCAAATTGTGCTAGATAATGTTCCAGTGGTCTGTCCGGCATTTCTTCACAATGTTGACGCTTACTAATATTAACTGTTGACCAACTTCTGTCTCCAGGATGTCTATGAACTTTATCACAATGGGACTCAGACTGTAGGAGAACGCGTTCTCTCGTATGACGTTGGCAATCATTGCATCACCAACATGGTTGCGTGGCCTGGAGCTATCACCGCCGTGTCTAGTAGAATGATGGCACCAGCCATCTCTCTAGCCATGGGACTAGAAGAGAGTTGTGTTCTATTAAAATTGAAGCCACTGCTGCAGACCGTCAAGAAAGATGAAATTCTATCTCAAGTTCCCAAGGCAAAGGAAAAAGGTTTGTACTAAATCATTTATGAAGGTTGTGGATATGTAATACATATGATACATATATTAATGGAGAAAATGTTGCTAATTAATTCTTATTCTTTGGAGAAAGTTGGAACACTTTTAATGTAATGGACTATTGCACTATTAGTACTCACCTAGTTGTACTCACCTAGTTGTGTAGTAATGTGTAATGTAGTGTAGTGTAATGTAAGGAGAGCAAAATTTGTGTTTGAAGGTGTCAAGGGACTGCCATTTTCCATACATGGTGCAGTCAGAGAGAGAGTGTGGCTCTATAATACTTGTTGTGTTCAGGGACAGTGGCTGTGTAATACATGGTGTGGTCAGGGACAGTGGCTGTGTAATACATGGTGTGGTCAGGGACAGTGGCTCTGTAATACATGGTGTGGTCAGGGACAGTGGCTGTGTCACATGGTGTGGTCAGGGACAGTGGCTGTGTAATACATGGTGTGGTCAGGGACAGTGGCTGTGTAATACATGGTGTGGTCAGGGACAGTGGCTGTGTAATACATGGTGTGGTCAGGGACAGTGGCTGTGTAATACATGGTGTGGTCAGGGACAGTGGCTGTGTAATACATGGTGTGGTCAGGGACAGTGGCTGTGTGTCACATGGTGTGGTCAGGGACAGTGGCTGTGTAATACATGGTATGGTCAGGGACAGTGGCTGTGTAATACATGGTGTGGTCAGGGACAGTGGCTGTGTAATACATGGTGTGGTCAGGGACAGTGGCTGTGTAATACATGGTGTGGTCAGGGACAGTGGCTGTGTAATACATGGTGTGGTCAGGGACAGTGGCTGTGTAATACATGGTGTGGTCAGGGACAGTGGCTGTGTAATACATGGTGTGGTCAGGGACAGTGGCTGTGTGTCACATGGTGTGGTCAGGGACAGTGGCTGTGTAATACATGGTGTGGTCAGGGACAGTGGCTGTGTAATACATGGTGTGGTCAGGGACAGTGGCTGTGTAATACATGGTGTGGTCAGGGACAGTGGCTCTGTAATACATGGTGTGGTCAGGGACAGTGGCTGTGTAATACATGGTGTGGTCAGGTACAGTTGATTTGCCATGCATGGTGTGGTCAGGAACAGTTGACCTGCCATGCATGGTGTGGTCAGGGACAGTGGCTGTGTGTCACATGGTGTGGTCAGGGACAGTGGCTCTGTAATACATGGTGTGGTCAGGTACAGTTGATTTGCCATGCATGGTGTGGTCAGGAACAGTTGACCTGCCATGCATGGTGTGGTCAGGAACAGTTGACCTGCCACGCATGGTGTGGTCAGGTACAGTTGACCTGCCATGCATGGTGTGGTCAGGTACAGTTGACCTGCCATGCATGGTGTGGTCAGGTACAGTTGACCTGCCATGCATGGTGTGGTCAGGAATAGTTGACCTGCCACACATGGTGTGGTCAGGTACAGTTGACCTGCCACGCATGGTGTGATCAGGTACAGTTGACCTGCCATCTTACCCATGTAGTAATCCTATTTATTGTCACAATAATTCTCCAAGCAGCCCGTCTGTGCTCACCTTCAGGTGAGAGACTTGCCGAGCATTTCTAATATTTGCACACGGTTTTCACTGATGATGTCATGAGCATCAGTGGTGGTGTCTTCTGCCAGATGGGAACATTATTAGTCTGTGTTGTATACTTGGGGCTTCATCGTATGTTGTGTGGAAGTTAAAGCTGAAGTAATATATGGGTTATATTGTCACTTGTTAGTGTAAACGTCTGTTGTTGTTGTTCACACCAATGTTGATACAAAGTACACTTCAGCTTTGAATCTGGTTTATCATTGTTGTATTTTACATGTTGTGGGGTCTTGCCCTTCTTTAAGTATGTTTGTCTAATTCCCTTTGCATCTGGTATTTGCATTAAAGAGCTTCTTGTTTCAATAATTATTCCATTAGTAGTAGTTATTGTGATTATCATTTATCATTTATAGTTGGATTTGTTCTCAACTTACAATCAGGAATCCTGGGTTCGATTCCCAGGTGGGACAGAAATGGTTGTGCATGTGTTCTTCCCAACTATTTCTGTCCTTAAAAGGCTTAAGGTCTCTGTTCACCTAGCCCGATAGCCCGAAACACTATGCGTATTAGTGACTTTAGGTATTGTGTGTACTAGCTCTATCTTTAAATCCAACATTATGTTTATAACTGATCTTCAATGTATGTACCTTTACCTGAATAAAAAATCTAAATCTAGCAGTAAATAGGTACCCAAGAGTTTGTCAACTGTTATGAAGTTGCAACTTGGGAAGGGGCAGTAGTTTGACCTTTGGGGGAACCTAGATACAAGCCTAAAGTATATTCAGTATTCTATATACACAGGCATTCTGTCCCTGTCAAAACAAATCATTCCCATTTCAATTCCTGTAATAATATCAGCTTTCATATTAAAGGCGATGAGTCACAATAACGTGGCTGAAAATATGATGACTGAATCACATACTGTACTGTATCAGAAAATGGAGAAACGATGACGTTTTGATTTGTTTTGGACCATTATCAAGATGTGACCATTATCACGGCTTGATAATGGTCCAGGATGGATTGAAACCCCTCGTTGTTTCCATTTTCTGATATGCGGTTTGGTCATCATTTCATATTTAAGTACAGTACAATACATGTAAAACGTACGAGTTTTCTCAGGACACAGCGGCTTAAGAAGAAGAAGAACAAGTGAGCGAAGTGCAGAAGAAGGTTCGACAGAAAAAGAAGAGATAAGAGAGGAAAAACGGAGAAAGAAGTCACTCAATACAACTCTGCGTGGAAATAAGTATTTTTCGTTTGATGTGGAGAAAGTCAACTCTGCAGAAACAGTTGTCAAGTATGTATATTTAAATAGTTTTGTATTATGAGCCAGCCTAATGCATAGTAGATGCAAAGGAGAGGCTAACATTACATAGCAAGCCCTTAATGAGTTTACACATGATATACGATTAGAGTATCTTGAGGTTATCTTGAGATGATTTCGGGGCTTTAGTGTCCCCGCGGGCCCGGTTCTCGACCAGGCCTCCACCCCCAGGAAGCAGCCCGTGATAGCTGACTAACACCCAGGTACCTATTTTACTGCTAGGTAACACGGGCATAGGGTGAAAGAAGCTCTGTCCATTGTTTCTCGCCGGCGCCCGGGATCATACCCTGGACCACAGGATCACAAGTCCAGTGTGCTGTCCGCTCGGCCAACCGGCTCCCCTATAAAATATAATATCTTTATTTAGGGGGATTCCCTCCTGTAATACTTAGTTTTGCTATTTTTTCTCAGTCTGCACACCTTAGGTTACTGGATCAACAATTAAATTCTTCAACTTTTTTTTGCTTGCTATTTACAGTATGTGTTGGTTATCATCTCCAGAAATACTGTATGAGATCGCTTATCTAGATTCCGCTAAACTGGATATTTGGGTTATCCGGCCAAAGTCACATCTGGGTAATTTTCTGGCAAAACTTCACAATATCCAGATAGTGATCCGGGTAACCTTAGGTTTGTCTGAATATCACATACAGGCATAGACTTTAAATCAAGTTCAGATAATTTTCTGGCAAAACTTCTCCATATCCGGATAAAAATAGGGATAACCAGATCGAAATGGCTTCTTTGATGGTGACCCACCTTTTGGCTTTGTCCCGGTGGCAGTATGAAGTTTCCTAGCAGTCCTTCCGATTATTTTTTGTCTCATCGTAGGTTTACGTCGCTTTCAAGGTTGTTTTGTCCTTTCTCTCGTGGTTGTTTCAAGACAGTCATCTTGAGCCAAATACCGTCGCTTCATATCGTGTGGCACTGGTGGAGCCGCTGCAGCTTGCGTTCGGTATTGATGTTACTTCTGCTCCGTTTCACAAGCTGTCTCGTGCGTTGTTTCACCTTTGGCCTGCTCATGCACCGCTTAAGGTGTCCTAGTCCTTGGATTGGGTCCGCTCTTATCTGTCTTCTCCTTGGTTTGTTGTGGGTCCCTTCGGTTCAGGAATGTTTTTCCAAAGCTTTTTTCTTGTTGGCATTGACCTCTGGGGGTCAGGTTGGGGAGCTTCATGCTCTTCTCTGGCGCAGGGGTTTCTGCTCTTTTAGCCCCTTCGGCTCCCCTTCGGCTCCCCTTCGGCTCCCCTTCGGCTACCCTTTGGCTACCCTTAGGCTTCCCCCCCCCAGACCTAACCCGGAGCTAACTACCCACTTAGAAAAAACGTAGGGACTTACCCGGGAGGTGGTCGCTGCTCACTCCTCAACTTGAAGTCGAGACAACTGAGAACCAATGTAACGGTTCTATTGTTACGTAAAGTATGGTGACAAATAAACACAGACACTAAGATACTATATATATATTTGGTCGAATATACAGAAGTACACAGGCGATACGTTGGTGTGAGTTGAGCGCACTGAGCGTTGGTAGAGTATCTCGCAAGTGTCTGCTCTAGACCACACTTGAAAGTAGACTGGGCCACAAGAGGTCACCTGTACTGACCGGGGGACCAGCCTCGCTACCTACGCTAAGTACCTGCCATAAAGTTTGAACAAAATAACACACATAATATTACAAATATACGATATACATATAATATCATAATATTAAACATATAAATATATATACATATATATTGTTACAAATATACAATATACATATAATATTATAAATATATAGATATATACAACAAAACAAGGCAATATGGGAGTAAATAAACAAATTTGTGGCCACTGTAACAACTTCTTAAAGACGAAGGCAACGGGAATTGAATGTTATATCTGTAAGACTAGATTCCATTCGGCTTGTACAGGAGTGAGTAACACTACGGCACTGAGAGATGGCCACTTGCTCTGGGTGTGTAAAAATGACCTGCCAGCTTGGAATATCCTAAAAAACCTTCTAGATAACATGACGCATGAACGGAAAACATCATTCATTGGAAGCCTACCAGCCATCCAGAAGGAGTGGGAAAGGAACAACAATTCTAATATACAAGGGGCGGAGGCTATAGTCAGGGATGAAACTGAGGCTGAAACTCAGGAAGTTGCAAACTCTGACTCAATAGGCCAGAATGTAGATGACAGTAAACTAGAAAGTGTACCAGACAGCACTGACAGCTCGATAGGTACAGACACCACGACGGTTCTCGATAGAGCAATTCAGAACAGAAGGACAGACTTATGCAAATTTTATGCAAAGAGCATATGCAGACATAGATATGCTGGTAATAAGAAAGGATTAGAATGCAGTTACCAACATCCCAAAAAATGTTTAAATATGCTTAGGAAAGGTGAGTGTCGATTTGGATCAATATGTAGGTTTTTCCATCCTGACATGTGCCAAACCTCACTGGAGGACAGAAAATGCTATGACCTTAGCTGCCCACACTTTCACGTGAAAGGCACGGAACGCTACATAAAGAGTGGCAAGCAGGATAATGAATTTGGAGGAAACTCTATAAATTTTTTATACCAGACCGGCAGAGAATTCAAAAGGAGCAGCATGGAGAGTGTATGGAACTGGATGCCAGATCCACTGGCATTCCAGAATTACAGATACAATTACCCACCGAAAGGGAACTACAACTACGACAGAAAACTGCCCTACAACAATCAGTACTGGTCAGAACAAACTCATTATGTCCACGATTAATGGACGTGCCGAAAAAGTCTCCCATTCAAACTATCACTAATAGAGTAACCTCATTCATCTTTGCCAACATACAAGGACTGAAAACAAGAACAAACAACATAGTACAGTTCATAAATGGCCTCCTCACGGAGTCAAATGCAGTATTTGGAGCTTTCACAGAAACCCATGCAGGGGAATTGTTGGACAGTGAGATCTGGATTCCAGGATATAACCTATACAGGTGTGATAGGAAAATTAGGTCACATGGAGGAGTGGGTCTGTATATTAGGGAAGACCTTGTATGCTCGGAGCTCCTAAACGTTACAAATGAGGTGGTAGAGGTACTGGGATTAAAAATAGAGAAAATAAATTTAGTGATTATACTAATATACAAACCGCCAGATGCAACGGCTGAGGAATTCACAGAACAGATAAGCAAAATAGAGAATAGCCTTGATAATTTGGAGAACCCGATACCTGATATTATTTTCCTAGGTGACTTCAACTTGCCTAGTCTCAGGTGGAAAATAGCAAACAATAATATTATACCAGGAAATCTATCAGGACCTAACCAACCACAGATTAGAGAACTACTTAGATTCTGTGACAAATTTTCCCTCAATCAGCAGATATCGGAGCCAACGAGAAATGAAAATATTCTAGATCTGGTCTTTACGAACAATGAAGACATTATCAGAGACATTACGATATCAGATACCACATACTCAGATCACAAACTCATTGAAGTGCAAACGACCATCAATACTCAGAATAGACCTAAAACGTTGATAAAGCGAGAGGGGCTATTCAGTAAATTCAATTTTAATAATAAAAGGATAGACTGGGAGATAATAAACAGGGAACTTACAAACATTCCATGGGGAACTGTTCTAAATAATACAAGTCCTACAGAAGGAATAGAAAAACTTACTTCAGAAGCGTATCAAGTCTGTCTGAAACATGTTCCTTTGAGGAAAGCCAGAAAGAGATCTAACGTAGAAAGAGAATGCAGACGACACTATAAACGCAGGAAAAAAATAACGGAACTGGTTATGCAGACACGAATTTCCCGTCAAAGAAGGAATAATTTAAATAGGGAGATTGAAGAAATCGAGCGGAAATTGAAACACTCATAGGAAACTGAAGAAAGGCAGTTAGAACAGAAAGCAATTCAGGAAATAAAGAAAAATCCAAAATATTTCTTCTCATATGCGAAATCAAAAGCAAAAACCACTGCCAGTATTGGACCTATTCGTACAAGTGAAGGTTCATACACGGAGGATGACAAAGAAATTAGTGAAATCCTAAAAAAGCAGTATGAGGACATGTTTAGCACTCCAATAAACAACATGAAGGTGGAAGATCCAGACAATTTCTTTATGCGGGATATTCAAACCCCTGTAAATATAACTGATATAAACACGAGCGCACTAAATTTTGAAAAAGAAATTGAAAACATGCCCATGCACTCGGCCCCAGGTCCAGACTCATGGAATTCAATATTTATAAAGAAATGCAAAGTGCCGGTAGCACAGGCACTCAGTATAGTGTGGAGGAAGAGCTTGGACACGGGGGAGATACCAGATGCACTTAAAGTAGCAGACATAGCCCCTCTACACAAGGGAGGGAGCAAAGCATTGGCAAAAAATTATAGACCAGTTGCACTAACATCGCACATCATAAAAGTATTTGAGAGAGTGATTAGGAGTCAGGTCACCAATTTCATGGAGACCAATGACCTTCATAACCCAGGCCAACATGGATTTCGAGCGGGAAGATCGTGCCTCTCACAGCTACTTGAGCACTACGACAAAGTCACTGAGGCATTAGAAGAGAAACAGAATGCTGATGTGATATACACGGACTTCGCAAAGGCTTTCGATAAATGTGACCATGGCGTGATAGCACACAAAATGAAGTCAATGGGAATAACCGGTAAAGTAGGACGCTGGATACTCAGTTTTCTGTCAAACAGGACTCAGCGAGTAACTGTCAACCATATAAAATCTAGTCCAAGTGCAGTGAAAAGCTCTGTACCTCAGGGTACAGTCCTTGCACCACTGCTTTTCCTTATTCTCATATCAGATATAGACAAAAATACAAGTCACAGCTTCGTATCATCCTTTGCAGATGACACAAAAATCAGTATGAAAATTACCTCGGCTGAGGACATTGAAAAACTTCAAGCTGATATTAATAAAGTTTTCGACTGGGCATCAGAAAATAACATGATGTTTAACAGTGATAAATTCCAGGTACTCAGGTACGGTAAAAATGAGGACCTTAAACATAATACAGAGTACAAAACACAATCAAATGTACCCATAGTAGGAAAACAGCATGTAAAGGATTTGGGAATAATAATGTCTGACGACCTAACGTTTAAGGAGCATAACCAAGCAAATATTGCGACAGCCAGAAAAATGATAGGATGGATTACGAGAACTTTCAAATCCAGGGATCCCATCACAATGGTTGTACTCTTCAAGGCACTTGTGTTGTCCCGTCTTGAGTACTGCTCAGTACTCACTTCCCCCTTCAAAGCAGGAGAGATTGCTGAAATAGAGGGAATACAGAGAACATATACGGCACGCATAGACGCAATAAAGCACCTAAATTATTGGGATCGTCTCAAAGCCCTCCAAATGTACTCACTAGAAAGAAGACGAGAGAGATGTCAAATAATATACACCTGGAAGATACTGGAGGGCCAAGTACCAAATCTACACAGTAAAATAACAACATACTGGAGTGAACGACATGGAAGAAAATGTAGAATAGAACCAATGAAGAGCAGAGGTGCCATAGGCACAATCAGAGAACACTGTATAAACATCAGAGGTCCGCGGTTGTTCAACGTCCTCCCAGCAAGCATAAGAAATATTGCCGGAACAACCGTGGACATTTTCAAGAGGAAACTAGATTTATTCCTCCAAGGAGTGCCGGACCAACCGGGCTGTGGTGGGTATGTGGGCCTGCGGGCCGCTCCAAGCAACAGCCTGGTGGACCAAACTCTCACAAGTCGAGCCTGGCCTCGGGCCGGGCTTGGGGAGTAGAAGAACTCCCAGAACCCCATCAACCAGGTATCAACCAGGTAACTGGCTGCAACCGCCGACCCAAAGCGACACAGGCCCGACTAGGCCCAGGAACGTTCACGAGATAATGAGCAACCAGGACCCTGTTCGACCACCAAAATCCCTGCCCCTGAATGTCGGCCCAGGACATTTTAAAAGACGGCAGCAAGAACCGCGAACTTGCTGCCGTAAAGTGATGATGCCCAGGCCTGCCAGGGGCGTTGGGCTCACACACGGAGCAAAAATTTGCGGATGTGAAACAGGCACTGTGGTGGATTTGGTTGCCTTGGGGCTCTGTGATTTGGCTCCATTCGGACTGCTCTCTTGTGGTTCATTGTCTCAACCCAGGGGAAGTCTGCAATCCGTGGCTCTTTGGGGCTGGTCGCTTCGGGTAGATCTTTCGCGGAGTTCTCAGGGTTTAGCTCTCCTCTTTGTTCATATTCAGGGGACGTCCAATGTCCGGGTGGATGGCTTGTCTCGCTTCATCCCTCTTTCCATGGTGTAAACGGTCGACACCGCCTCTTTCCTTTGGCTTTGTCGGAAGTCCGGGTACCTGGAGATATACCTCTTTGTGTCAGCTTGGTCTTAGCGCCTCCCAATAAATGTGGGGCATTCCCTGACTGAGAGGCATTCGCGGTGGACGCTTTCTGACAGGACTGGTCGAGGTAGGGGTTCCTGTGCCTTCATTCCCCGGTCCAACTGTTGCTCTCGGGTTCTGACTCAACTTAAATCCTATCGGGGGAGAGTGATTCTCCTGACTCCATGGTGGCCGGCCCAGCCTTGGTTTCAGAAGCTGGTTACACGGTGTCCGAACCTGAGGGTTTTTCCACGGCTCCACCTCTTTCAGCAGGTTGGGCCGGTAAGGTACCTCGCTGGTTTGGCTTACTCTTGATCAGGTGGCGTCATTGAAGGTGTCCCACCTGCGGTCATCTTCTCAGTGACATTATGTATGAAGTCTCTTGGATGTCCTTCTGCCATTTCCTTTCTCTTCATAGGGTTTTGTCAGTGTCTGTTCCAGTTGTTGTCTGTCTTGGCTTTTTCTTGACCGGCATCTCGTGCCGAGTACTGTCGCTTCAAATCGTGCGGCATTGGCGGAGCTGCTCCAGCTTGCATTCGGAGTGGATGTCACTTCCGCTCCATTCCACAAGCACTCGCGTGCATTTTTTCACCTCCGGCATGCTCATGTGCTGCCCAAGCCTTCTCAGTCTTTGGACCGGGTGCTCTCGTTTCTATCATCTCCTCGGTTTGTTGTGACACCTATGGTCTGGTACTGTTTCCTTAAGGCCTTGTTCTTGTTGACTTTAGCCTCTGGAAGTTGGGTTGGGGAGCTTCTTCTCCTGCGCAGGGGTTTCTTCTCTTTTGACAAAGCACTGTATGGCACAATTGCCATTGACCGGGGAAGGACCCAGAAAGGTAGGCGAATCAAAACAGGCCACTGTGTGGTTACAAGGTCAACAGTTTTCTGTCAAATCTCCAATCGTCGGTTTTCGTCATTCAAGAACTCGAGTTGTGGGCGGCTGGCTCCCTCTTTTCCCTAGAGTTAGGGTAGGAGGTGGGGGGGGGGGGGTAGCACTTACGAGCGAGCGTGCTAGTTGCATGAAGTATTGCTTGTCGAGTTTCTTTCTAGGGGAGTTATTTTGATCTTTTTGGATGTAGATTGCTGCACAGGTTAACTAGACAGTGTTCCGTTTTGTTTCGCCTACCTTTCTGGGGAAAGCTGTATGCTCCCGATGGGTCTGGGGCTCCCCTTTCCCCCGCCAGGTTCTGGCTCATGGTTCCCAGTAGACATGAGAACTCCTATGACTGACGACCCCAAACTAATATAGCACATCAGTTCAGATAGCGTCAGGGAGCAGACAGGGCTCGCCCAGAAAGTGGCGTTTCATTACATTCAGTGCTGGTTTTTCTTTATGTATTCCAGTGGATTTCCTTCTGGATAATGCATGAATTTGTATAAAAGCCTGCATAAACAATGTTGCACTGTAATATAATATAGACAGTTGTGACGGGAAAGTGTTGGAGTGTTGATGTTCGGCAGTCCTCCAATGGCAGGTGTCAAAGCCTGGTCACACTTTAAACAAAAATATAGACTGCTTGCCTGTTGTCTGTGGTAAGTTAGAGGGAGGAACACGTAAAACACAAAATATGAACAATGAAACTTTAATATATTTACTTTAAACATAAATGAAAATAGACAAATCTCGGGAAGTTAAGTTACAGTTAAGTAATAAAGAAAATGCAAGGACAATGTGAAATATAAAATTACAATGCTAAAATGGTGCTGAGAATATCGGCTATGGCTGAAACCTCCCTTCGTATACGAGCTAATGAGCGAGTATGCCAGAGAGAGATGTCAACCGTAAGAGCACAAGGAATATTCTGAAGTGGATAGCTGGTCAGGCTCAGACGTCGATTCGTGTAGAGGGCGCTGAGGTGCTGTGTGCAGGTGCGCGGCTGGCGAGTCACCAATCAGAGGCAGGCAAGCTGGTGAAGGGTAGTTAGCTGGTTTGATGACGAGCCGGCGTGAGGAGGGTGTGTAGAGTAGGGGGATCTTGGATACGTTTTGCCTCCTGGTCAAAACGTTTTGTGCTACTGGTGACGTATCTTGAATGTAGCATCTTATACTTGTGTCTTTGGCGTAACTTAAAGTAGGGAAGAGCAGGCTCAATCTCTCTTGAAAGAGATTATCGTCACACAGGACTTACCCATGTTAAGATATTTCATCCATGAATTGATTTGTAATCATTGGCTTAAGTAATTTCTGTTTCATATTACATTTTGGCATTAATTCATTAACCCTTTGACAGTGGCTATGTAGAAATGGTCATACCACCTATGCACAAAAAAAAGGAATTTTTCATTATAGATTTATTAATTTGTATGCAGAATCTAAGAAAAACATGAAAATAAATGAATATTTATTGTTTCACTGGGTGGAGATGCTATGCAACGCTGCGTCTGGCACTCGTCAACATCTGGTGTTCGACATTGTTGATGCTTCCTCATATATTCTCTGATGTTTCACCAATTGTTTTATCACTTGTATTTCTTTATTTACATTCACAGAGAGCACACCCAACCACTTGGGGCTGGACGGTAGAGAGACGGTCTTGCTTCATGCAGGTCGGCATTCAGTCCCTGACCGTCCAAGTGGTTGGGTATCATTCTTTCCCCCCGTCCCATCCCAATCCTTATCCTGATCTCTTCTAAGTGCTATATAGTTGTAATAGCTTGGCACTTTCATGTGATAGTTCCCCCACAGAGAGCATTTATATCCATATTTGCATCACATGTAAAACCCAGGCAATAGTTGTTTAAAATCATCATATAATGATGACTGCATTTCCCTAGTAACATTCATGATGATACCTACATTTGTACCATGAAATAGGAGCAGGAGTTTTTCATGGGTCAAGGTAAACTCCATTGCATCCACATACAGTATACCTATTATATTCATACTTGCATCATGCATGCACCCAGACAATAATTTGTCAAATTTTCATATGATGATAACCACATTAACCTGTGAATTACGAATTGATGATGATTGCTGTCTAAGAGTTAAATTATCCCTTCATTTTTATTTTTGTATATTTTCTAGATTTGCAGATTAACTTGATAGAGTTTTATGGTGTTTTAATGTTACTACAGGAAGAATTCTGAGAACGAATCTTATCAGAAGTGCTGCGGGATATCCTCGGACTACAAATTTTTAGTGACTGGAGGAACTGATGGATACCTGAGGTTTTGGAGTTTGCCGGACATGAAGAAAATTAAGGAGATAAAAGCTCATGAAAAGGAAGTTGATGATATAAACATCAAGCCAGATGGCAAGGAGGTACATAATATAATGTAGTTTGTTCAATGTTATAAAATAGAATGATGGAGTTTGTAAATCTCTCAAGCATGTATGGTAGCACATTTACTTATTCTTATTTGTATCCATTATTTGTATAGTGGGTGCATATACCATATTTGCTGGCATATAAGACCAACCCCTATTTTGCTAGGGTATTTTGTGGAGAAAATCTATTTTAGTCTCATCATACATTTATTAAAAGATATTTTAAAGTTGTTTTTGTACCCCAACTCTTACCTGCTCTAAGAATAGCTGTATAGTTGTTTATATTTTGGGCAAGAGAATTGCTATACAGGATGTGAAACCTCCTGTATAGCAATTCTCAATAGCAGGGCGATACACTTGGTGGTGCCGCCGCATCATTTTCCCTTCACAGATTTCCCTGCTTCTGTTATGCAGCATGTAATCAGAACTATTCACAGTCACAACCAGTTAGAGGCAGACATGGTCAAGTCACTGTCAGGCTGGCATTCACAATCTCAAGTCAGTCAGACCTTTACAGTCACTAGTCAGTCATAACCAGTGAAAGGCAGTTAGGCATTCACAGTTGTGGTAGCAATCAGTCACAGTTTGTAAACAACATGTGTGTTGTTTACAGAATACCAAGGCCACCATCTGGTAGGAAGGAAGCAGAGAATCTGAACCGTGTTAATCCCGTACCAGTCGTCTTGACGCAGCTGGAGGGTCTGGTGTGGGGAATGGGGGGGGGGTTAGGATGTAGTGGGACTGGGGAAGCTGAAGGGTAGATCAGGGGTGACCTCAGCCAGTCTGCCTGTCTTTCGCCAGTCAAACCCAGCTAGCCTGCCTGCCCGCCCAAAGCAACCCAAAGCCCGCCTGCCCGCCCAAACCAACCCAAAGCCTGCCCATCCGATTCCACCCAGCCTGCTTGCCCGAATAGCCACCCATCCACCTGTCCGAATAGCTGCCTACCTGCCTGTTCAAATAGCCGAAAGGGCCCTCCCGTCCAAAAAAGCCTGCACACTCGCCAGAACTCAGACCCGCCTGCCCGAACCCGCCCACCAAAACCCAACCACCCAGCCTGCCCACCCATCCACCCTGCCTGCTCGACAGTCGACCACCAATCCATCCATCCACCCAGCCTGCATACCCACTCACCCAGCCAGTCTGCCCACTCCACCTGCCTTCCAGTCAGCCAATCCATCCACCTGCCCAGCCAGCCCGCCAGTCAGTCAGCCACCAATCCATCCATCCACCCCATCCTGCCCACTCGCCTGCTAACCTTGCCTGCCTGAAGTCAGCCACCTCTATGCCTGCCCACTAGCCAGCCAGTTACTCAATCATCCATCATACTTAGAGAGGATTTAATAACAGTACTGTACTGTATTAGTAACAGTATTTAGTAATAGTATTAGTAACACAATTTACTTAAATAATATAGGTTGTTTTCAATATTTTATTATTAGCAATGATTATTGTGCCCAGCGAACTTATCCAATATGCTCGTGCGGCTCCTTAGCCTATGGTACTACGGTCTCACATCCGTAATACGGCCGCATTAGACGCACAAATTTTTTTTTATATGTTGAAAAATCACATTTTATACGCCGGCAAATATGGTAATTAATCATAATTCTTATGTGATTTACATAAGAATTCTTCTAAAGATTTCCTTTACAATTACTCTTAATTGTATTACTCATTGATGCTTGATTTATTTTTTCATTGGCAGTTCAATTCACCTATTGATTCATTTAATAATTTAATTATATTGTAATTTCTCTGTATCCATTTCCATTTAATCTAATTTCTTATAATATTATGATGAACCTTTATTCTACTGCTTATTATAGTTCTTCAGAAATATTTTGGTGTTGTTCCTACCAACCTTGGGGGTGGTTCAGGGACCACCGACCTCGGGGGTGGTTCAGGGACCACCGACCTCGGGGGTGGTTCAGGGACCACCGACCTCGGGGGTGGTTCAGGGACCACCGACCTCGGGGGTGGTTCAGGGACCACCGACCTCGGGGGTGGTTCAGGGACCACCGACCTCGGGGGTGGTTCAGGGACCACCGACCTCGGGGGTGGTTCAGGGACCACCGACCTCGGGGGTGGTTCAGGGACCACCGACCTCGGGGGTGGTTCAGGGACCACCGACCTCGGGGGTGGTTCAGGGACCACCGACCTCGGGGGTGGTTCAGGGACCACCGACCTCGGGGGTGGTTCAGGGACCACCGACCTCGGGGGTGGTTCAGGGACCACCGACCTCGGGGGTGGTTCAGGGACCACCGACCTCGGGGGTGGTTCAGGGACCACCGACCTCGGGGGTGGTTCAGGGACCACCGACCTCGGGGGTGGTTCAGGGACCACCGACCTCGGGGGTGGTTCAGGGACCACCGACCTCGGGGGTGGTTCAGGGACCACCGACCTCGGGGGTGGTTCAGGGACCACCGACCTCGGGGGTGGTTCAGGGACCACCGACCTCGGGGGTGGTTCAGGGACCACCGACCTCGGGGGTGGTTCAGGGACCACCGACCTCGGGGGTGGTTCAGGGACCACCGACCTCGGGGGTGGTTCAGGGACCACCGACCTCGGGGGTGGTTCAGGGACCACCGACCTCGGGGGTGGTTCAGGGACCACCGACCTCGGGGGTGGTTCAGGGACCACCGACCTCGGGGGTGGTTCAGGGACCACCGACCTCGGGGGTGGTTCAGGGACCACCGACCTCGGGGGTGGTTCAGGGACCACCGACCTCGGGGGTGGTTCAGGGACCACCGACCTCGGGGGTGGTTCAGGGACCACCGACCTCGGGGGTGGTTCAGGGACCACCGACCTCGGGGGTGGTTCAGGGACCACCGACCTCGGGGGTGGTTCAGGGACCACCGACCTCGGGGGTGGTTCAGGGACCACCGACCTCGGGGGTGGTTCAGGGACCACCGACCTCGGGGGTGGTTCAGGGACCACCGACCTCGGGGGTGGTTCAGGGACCACCGACCTCGGGGGTGGTTCAGGGACCACCGACCTCGGGGGTGGTTCAGGGACCACCGACCTCGGGGGTGGTTCAGGGACCACCGACCTCGGGGGTGGTTCAGGGACCACCGACCTCGGGGGTGGTTCAGGGACCACCGACCTCGGGGGTGGTTCAGGGACCACCGACCTCGGGGGTGGTTCAGGGACCACCGACCTCGGGGGTGGTTCAGGGACCACCGACCTCGGGGGTGGTTCAGGGACCACCGACCTCGGGGGTGGTTCAGGGACCACCGACCTCGGGGGTGGTTCAGGGACCACCGACCTCGGGGGTGGTTCAGGGACCACCGACCTCGGGGGTGGTTCAGGGACCACCGACCTCGGGGGTGGTTCAGGGACCACCGACCTCGGGGGTGGTTCAGGGACCACCGACCTCGGGGGTGGTTCAGGGACCACCGACCTCGGGGGTGGTTCAGGGACCACCGACCTCGGGGGTGGTTCAGGGACCACCGACCTCGGGGGTGGTTCAGGGACCACCGACCTCGGGGGTGGTTCTCGGACCACCGACCTCGGGGGTGGTTCTCGGACCACCGACCTCGGGGGTGGTTCTCGGACCACCGACCTCGGGGTGGTTCTCGGACCACCGACCTGGGGGTGGTTCTCGGACCACCGACCTGGGGGTGGTTCTCGGACCACCGACCTTGGGGGTGGTTCTCGGACCACCGACCTGTGGGTGGTTCTCGGACCACCGACCTTGGGGGTGGTTCTCGGACCACCGACCTTGGGGGGCGGGTTCCGGGACCACCGACCTTGGGGGCGGGTTCCGGGACCACCGACCTTGGGGGCGGGTTCCGGGGATCACCGACCTTGGGGGCGGGTTCCGGGACCACCGACCTTGGGGGCGGGTTCAGGGACCACCGACCTTGGGGGCGGGTTCAGGGACCACCGACCTTGGGGGCGGGTTCCGGGACCACCGACCTTGGGGGCGGGTTCCGGGACCACCGACCTTGGGGGCGGGTTCCGGGACCACCGACCTTGGGGGCGGGTTCCGGGACCACCGACCTTGGGGGCGGGTTCCGGGACCACCGACCTTGGGGGCGGGTTCCGGGACCACCGACCTTGGGGGCGGGTTCCGGGACCACCGACCTTGGGGGCGGGTTCCGGGACCACCGACCTTGGGGGCGGGTTCCGGGACCACCGACCTTGGGGGCGGGTTCCGGGACCACCGACCTTGGGGGCGGGTCCGGGATCACCGACCCAGTAACCAACACTGACCATGCCACCTGGTTCATGTCGTGATCAGCCAGACTTGGTGCTTGAAACTTGAAGTAAAACTCACTGTCACTCTGCTGATCAGGAAAATTGTTTGAAAATATATATTCCCTACACTCTTTTATTTAAAGGAATGGTATTAAAATGTCTTGGATATATGTTTATACATCTCCACCTCGGGGTCAGAAGTTGGTCAATATGAAACATTCCACAGTATAATGCTTAATGGAATGTATACAGTTATGAGAAGATCATTTTGTCATTTTGGGGCAATGGACCGACTTGAACAGTCGTTCTGGTGATTCCCAGACACCTGCCTTAATCCACTCACCCATGACAGGACAAAAGCCAACCAACCCGGAACAGTATTGAATTCACTGGGAGGTTCTGGAGGGCCCAAACTGGTGCCCAAGCAGAATTTTTACGATTTGCTTACATATGCAGGCGATGAGTCACAATAACGTGGCTAAAGTAAGTTGACCAGACCACACACTAGATGGTGAAGGGACGACGACTTTGTCCCTACACCTATCGTCGATTTGCTTACACTTTGGCCTGCAGGCACTGGTGTTGACACCCATACGCCCCTTCTTCAGATCACAAAGAAATCACAACGGCAGGATATATCAGTGAGAAAATCATTTTGTGGTAATGGGGTGACCCGGAGCCCATCGGGCTCTTGAAGGTTACCCCAAGTGGGGTGACCTTCATGGAACCCCGGAGGTTCCCTAAAGCTATCTTATTGATCAAGTGCCTTCTACGTAAGTGGCATCAGTCGCAGA